AAAGGTAAAATACAGCAAACTGTATTTTTTGTCCTTAAACTATCATAAAAAGTTACTTCAGAGTTTACTTAAATCACTGATTAGTTTTCTTTAAAAAGATAAAACAAAGAAAAAGAAGTTGTCATTTGATAAACTAGAGACTATATGTAAGGACAGTTTATTACAGAATAATACATAAATCCTCTGGCCAGCAAGTAAGTGGTTAGTAAAGAAACCACATCTCCTGCAGCAGAAAATGCTCTGTAAGGAATAGTGAGAATAAGATCTCACTAAAACCAAAATTAATCTTGCAGTGAGTGAATGTCATCCCTCTGCAGATGGTGAGTATGAGCGCGGTGGCCACAACTCCCTCCCAGATAAGGAGCCCTTAGCGTTACACTGATCTCACTGTTGCTTCTACCCCTTATCTAGGGGTAAATTACCACAATTTATATTAACTTACAGTTTTGGAAAGCTCCTTGATTTTTGCAATAATTGTTATTGATATTTCTGTTTCCCTATAGTATGCACACATAAAGAGGATGTAGTGCATAATCAAGTTGCCAGCCCAAATGTTTTCAGTTTAAAAGAGGTACATTTTCAAATGCTGGTTAGTGTTTGCTGGATGTTGGACGCAGCAATATCTTATGTGTACACGCTCAGGCAGTGTCCCGGCCTCCCATGGATAAAGACTTCTGGGAGAAAATTTGCAATTGCATTTTGTAAATTGTACTACCAACTATGTTAGCTATGGTACAATTTACCATCTTTGAACTCATGAAGAAGCATATCCATTAGAAACTCTGTACCTTTGTCCACTTGGTCTATACTTGTTTCTCAGTTTATGCCTAGAAGAGTACCACTGAAACCCAGTGGCACTGAATTTCTCTCTTTGAGAGTACCTCAGGCCATATAAAGCAATACTGCAAACCAAACAGCCAAATTTTAAATGTTTTTTATGTCTAACTTCTCTCAGGGCTCCAAAAGTAGAAGAAAACTAAATTCAGACAAATGGATCTAAGTCAGCTTTGTTAATCTTTGGGATGCTTTTGTTGGATTAAAGACCTGAGGCTGTTGACTATCTATGGATAAAAGGGTAATTCAGAAACACCCCAAAAGTACTTGTAACACTTTGGAGAATAATCTTATCATTCTCACTGAAAAACATATTCAGGCATGTTCTCTCCGCCCTTCTTTAAAAAAATACACAAAAAAACCCACCACAAAACAGCACCAGTTTGCTCAGCCAAGAGAGCTCATAAAGGTGAAGAGCACTTCTCATGGGATATAAAATGTGAATTATATTGGAAAATAAACTCTAGATTATATTTGGCATTCCTAGACCATCTACCAGCAACAGATGTTCTGTCCTGAAAGTGATATAATTTTGACAGCAGTACAGCAACTCCTTAAATAAATTACTGAGTTATTGTCAAAGTAGTACAGATAATTTTTTTTTTTTTTTTAGGAAAAGTGATTTCACTCTTTAGCCAATTAATTATGAATTTACATTCATTTTCTTCCAACTGTGAAATCAATGCTAAAGCTGATTTGTAGTTGGGTTTTAGTCTTTTCTGTAGAGTTCCTATGTTGTTGCTGTCATTACAGTCACTGTTCTTACAGTTAGACTTTACTTTTAGGTGAGAACATTGAATCCTGTCTCCATTACAGTCAAGAAATTTGCATCTGACTTCAGTGGGGCAGGAATTTTACCCCTGGAATCACTGCTGTGCTGCCCCCTGCCCACAGGAAAGTGGGAGGGACAGGGAGAAGAAACCTTGCAAGGTGGCAAGACCTCTTCGTTCGGTGTCGTGTGGTCTCTGTGAACTTCATTCCTTCAACTTCAACTCTACACAACAGGTTTCAGAGCTAGGATTGTGAGGGCAAAGAAGAGGAGGTGAGACCTGGACATACCTATTGACCTGACTCCTGAGGAAGGCTCTCGCAAGCTGCCTTCGTTCCCTTGCTTGGGATCTGCCCATGATTCTGCATTAGTGGGGATCCCAGGGGGTTTCTGATGCAAAAGAATTAAACCATTGGAGAGAGCAGCATATGCCAGAGAGCAGCGCAGGGAGGGATGAGCACACTGAGAGAGACTTGATCCGACTGGAGAAATCAAGCTGTAGATTTTGACAGATAGTTCTGCATCATCTACAATATGAAACTCATCACAGAGAGTTTGGATGAGGAATTGGCCTTATGTTTTTATACAGACATAGTCTACTGCTATATTTTTTCAGGTATGAATCACACTTTATTCGTAGTGAAAAGCACTTGTCTTTCATTTAATATTTTTGTAAATGATGTTGTCAAAATCCAGTTTCATTCTCCAGGAAGAGCCTGGAGAATTTTCTCTGAAACAGTATCAGGGGCATTTCTGCATGCCAAATATTGGTGTTTTCAGAACAGGGACTGGGACAGGGCTAAAGAGATTGTACAGTTTATTTCTCTGAATTTGCTTCATGGAGGAAGGACAGGTTGATGTATGAGCAGGCTTTACATAACTTGTAAAGCATGCCTAAATCAGCCTACCTGTTCCAAACTTATTTCTGGAGTAGTATAAAAGCTACCTACTTACTTGACTATTTCCTGATGAAAGTATCAGCATTAAAACTACTGGCTTGAATTCTGAACCTAACCATATCCCCTGCAACTCCAGGTAAGTTAATGGAGCTGCAGAAAGAAACAGATAAAAGAAACAGAGTTTCCCCACAGGCTTTAGCGCATGTCGTCATAGGGCCTTCGTACAACTCTAACAGAAGTCAAGCAACTGAAGGAGAGGGATTAAAATTTTCTTACAAATCTCCCCTGAAATTCTCGTTTCGGTGGAATCATAGATGCGCTTGAAGAGTTATGCTGTTGTGGGGTCAGTATCATCTAATTTCCTGAAAAACAGGGGATTTATATCAAAACGGGTCATAAGCAGACACAACTTTGCAACATGCGCTTTTCAGGTGAATCTGATAGCCTGGAGCAAAATCTAGTATTTGGATACATTAAACCAAATTCAGTATCTGATTCTAAGCCATTTAAATACTGCAGAGCTTGGCCTATTATATTCATTTATGGAACTCCTTGTAGTAGCTCTGAACCCAGAAACTCTAAATAAAAGTTTGTTTTCATTCACATGCAGAGCACGTGAATGAAATTTGCAAATTGCCTCAGGTCATTTTTTTATCAGCAGGTCCAACAGCGAATAAAGGGAAATTAGGATGACAGCTGAGGTGACTGAAATGGACAGTTTGAGAAGATTTGAGATTCAACTGCTGGGAAATACATAACGATGGCCCTTATCTGTAGGTTGCAAGTACTGGCCTACAGTAAAGTTTGGAAAAGCATGGGAGGTTGCCATAGCTCTGTGTGATGGGGCATGTAAGACAAGGCAATGGGACAAAAAAAAGGCAAGTGACTTTCCTTGCACTTCACAGAGATGGGAGGTAGGTGACTCAATGTACTGCACTCCACTTACCATATGATACCAACACACACTGGTCAAAAGTAGAGGAGAAAAGTGCCAGAAAAGTTTGTTTTCCATTCTGTGTTCCAGCTCTACACAGATCTTTAATATATGAGATTGGATTGATAGTTCTTTTTTATCAGTAGATGTATTATCATCTGTAACTTGGATACAACTCTACACAGAAACTCTGCGTTGACTTATTATTTACAGTAAAACCCCAGCTCCCGCCACACAGAAAACCAGCGTCACACTGGTACTCTTTCCAGCAGTGCAAAGGATCCATGCTAGCTCTCTACAGAGAGGTAATTTTTTTCTTACACCTCTATAGTTCCTCTGTTGCATCATCAGACATAACATACTAGAAAAAGTGGACAGTACTTTAAATGAGAACCCTAATTACTAACTGAAAAAAGGCAGATAGGAATTAAAAAAATTGAATGTGAAGTTCTGCACTGATATTTTCCCAAGGAAACTCCACCATTCTACTGGGACATGGAAAAAACAGACAGTACAACCCTCATTTTCCTGGCCAAAGAGCTTGTATAAAAACAGCCATAACCAAACCCAAGAAAATCAGAACAAGTAGAAGGATACTCCAATGCCACTCATCTTATACCAGTCCATTGATTATAGATTGATCTAGACAGTCTCTAGACTGGTCTAGCCTGAAATTTGGTTAACTTGATATGCATTTGCAGCTAGAAACAGGTCTTCGGTGGCAAGTAGAGCAGCAAACAAGTGTTGATTTAAAGATTCAATATCTTGGGTTTCTAAGTTTTAGTAACAGATTTTCCCAAATTAACATTTGCCTTCATCATACCTTAATAGACAGTTGAATTGCTCTTCCTAGGATATAGTACAAACTTTAGACTGAAGGACAGAATACTTCATTACTGCTACAGTCCTGTAACACAGTTCTTTTTTGGAACTGGTAAGTGTTTTGTGAAAGAAACAAAGAAAGACAGACAGACTTGTTAATAGCTTTCTCTTTGGGATTATAGGAGCAACTAAGAAATACTGCTTTTGTTGAATATAAGCCAGTCTTTTAAAAAGGACAGTGACCTTCTCCACTTTGTCCTGTTCCCAGCAAAAGTGTGCTGAGATAGCCTAAAACATGCTCAAAGTTATAGCAATACATTTTTCGGTTTAGATGCTCATCAGTCACAAGAAGAGATGAAGATGAGTAAAAGTATTGCCTTTTTCGGAATCCTTCTAGCATATGAAAAAAGACCTATACACAATTAATTTGTACACTGCTGCATAAACATAATCTCTTTCCGCTACGTATAATGCACCTTTGGAACAAGCTGCACACGACCAAAAATCCTGGGAACTTTGGGATCCATTTCAGCTGTGTTACACATAGATCTGTGAGCAGCTCCAAGCTGCATGCTCTCTTCTTGTGATCCCTCAATGGAGGAATTTATATCCACAATGCGTTTTCTTAGCTGGTTTGTTACGAGTTCAGCACTCCTGCCACAGGCCTTTCAGGAAGGTCCCTTGTATTTTTCATACCAAACTTGCACATTTAATATCTTGTGTTTCTCTTGTCTTGCATCACTCATACAAACGGCGTCATCACTGCGGAGGAGTGACGCAGTCCCTGGATAGCTGCGTAAGGACCCTGCTGAAAATAATGGTGGTACCTAGGCATATGGAAAGAAGGGAAAGTGGGGCCACTACCTTGCATGGAGCTGGCTATAGCAGAGGGTGTAAGAGGCATTCCCAGGCGGCTGTACGGAGGCAGAGATCCTTGGATTGGATGAGGAATGGGTGTTGCTATGGATGCAGTGCTGGTACCCAGGGCACTCAAAGACTGCGGATGCTGAAACCCAGGAAAACTGGTTGAGGAGGATACCCAGGAACTGAGGGACAGGTTGTCAGATGTTGTAAAGGCTGACCCTGCAAGCAAAGAAAAAGAATGCCTGAGATTTGCACTGCAACACACAGAGATGGTAAAATAGCAAAAAGGGAAAAAGAGAGTCTTTCGCAGCAAGGCTGATTTTAATCACAAGTTGTTGTTGGAAATACTTCCCAAATACTTCTCTCTCCTTATATCTTTCTTTATAGTATTATTTGCCTGTTGCTGTCCTTTATAACTACATCTTAAACAAATTTCCATTTTAAGAAGCTGGTTGTGGTGGTTTGAACAGTAAAATCCTGATTGCGCTTTGGACATTTTTGGTGTTAAAACACTGAAGAACTTTGTAATGCTGCTGCTAAACACTGAAGTATCTACTCTGACTCTCACTGTGTTACATCCCTGTTTTGAAGACATGCTTGTAGCTTTTTACATCGGATCCTCAGTAGAACTGGTTATTTTTTTTCTAATATTTCAGTCTGGCAAAAATGCAGGAAAATGTAATTTTTAATTTTTTTTTTATCACAGTAAAACTTGTCAACACTGCATCTTTTCACTCAACCTGATTTTTTCCAAAATACAGAACAAAAAAATTCTAAAATTTCAAAACACTTGTTATTCTTCCAACTGCGTACAGTGCTCTAAGAAACAACACTAATGCTAAATCATAGTGAGAGATGTGGAGTTTTAAGTGAAAAAATATTAAAAACTTGCTGTCAGGGTAATTATCTACTTTTGATCAAATGGAAGTGGTTTATTTGGTATTTTTTAATCTGAAAAGTTCAAAAAATTATCATCACAAATCTGCCACCTTTTTAAAACACTTTTTCTCTGAAGATTGCAGAATAATTTAAAAAAAAAGGAAGAATGGTTTCTTTAAATTAGAACTAATTACTTATTTTGACAGTTAATTTTTGGGGAAACAATGAAAAAACTGTTTGGATAATTATACATGGTCATCTTCAAATAATCTGGTGACAATGTTGCCCTTCACCTCTGCAGTTCCTCTATGCATCTGGTCATCATCAGATGTCTGATTTCTAGAAATGGGGAATACAATCCAATCCTATAAATAAACTCTTAATTTTTATCCCTATTCAAACAATAATTAAACTCATGTCCCTTCTGTATTTTCTTTCTTGTCCAACTTCATCCATTGAGGAAATCTTTCTTACTTTAAGAAATAAATTTACTGTCAAGAATATTTGACAAAATATAATCTCAAGCCAGTATTGCAAAACATTCTGAGACAATAAATTTTGCAACAGGCATTAGTTTCTTAAATCTGATTCTAGAAGATAGGTTCATCCAAACTGTGAAAAGAGAAAATATGAAGACATCTATCTGTCAAGGTAAACTTACTGGAATTATGTATACTAACCAATCATAGCCACATACTCAAAACTGTAAGCAAACAACAACAGAAAGAGAAAATGCAAATTATTATTTTTTTAAAAATCATAAATTATATATTCTCAAATCAGAACGAGAGCTACTCTTGCTTAATTCCTCTCTGCTTAATGAAACAAGTAAAACATCCCAGTAACAGGAAAGAGAAATTGTGTTGATTCAGCAGTAGAAGCAGACATAAACCAAATCCTGGCCCTACCACTGAACCAAATCTGAACAGCTGGGAAGTTAGGATCCTGAGCCAAACTATAAGGATAACACTATACTCACAGACCAGAGCAAAACCCTTTACAAATCAGGGGATACCTGAGCATTATTGCATGACAGGGAAAGTGGGATGCAAATCTGGATTTGCCTGGAAGGTTTACGTTTGGCTCTGTTCCAGGTGGCTACTGTGAACCCTGCGTGTGGATGCTGGAGTGCAGGCACCCAGGCATTATGCATTAAAGAGTTTTAATTGAATTTATTTATTTATTATCTGATAATTCCTTTGGAAATAGACTTCTTGTGATAAATATACTACTGAAGGCCAGCTGCTTCCATCTTGAGATGGCTGAAATTGGCTGAGCTGATAATGCTCTGGGTGGGTGCTGAAGTAATTAGAAATAAATTGCAGTGATAGACTTTCTTTGTTCTACACAGAATAAAGTATGTGATTCCTTCTCATGAATGATCATGAAATGATCAGAGGGCTGGAGCACCTCTCCTATGAAGACAGGCTGAGAGAGTTGGGGTTGTTCAGCCTGGAGAAGAGAAGGCTCCAGGGAGACCTTATAGCAGCCTTACAGTACCTGAAGGGGCCTACAGGAAAGATGGTGAGGGACTGTTTACAAGGACATGTGGTAATAGGACAAGGGGTAATGGGTTTAAACTAAAAGAGGGAAGATTTAGATTAGCTATTAGGAAGAATTTTTTTACATTGAGGGTGGTGAAACACTGGAACAGTTTGCCCAGAGAGGTTGTAGATGCCCCATCCCTGGAAACATTCCAGGTCAGGTTGGACAGGGCCCTGAGCAGCCTGATCTACTTGAAGATGTCACTGCTCATTGCAGGTGGGACTGGGCTAGATGACCTTTAAAGGTCCCTTCCAGCCCCAACTATTCTACAATTCTGATGAGGAACCTCCATAAGCACCCTTTCCTCCTCTAACTGCGATGGTCTCTAATTGCAAATTAGTACTCCAAAAAGTCTCACATACCACATTTGCCAGTACCAAGGAAACGTGCTCTAGTAATTCTGAGGCAGTTGAGGCCTCACAGAGCTTATAACAGACACCACCCAGCCATGTGTATGTATTTGGCTCATATGTATAGAAGGATATCCCTCAATTTTGCATGCAAGGTAGTTTTAAAATGCATCAGAAAAAATGAAAAAGTCTGTGGAGTTTCAATAAGATCATTATTATTCTGCTCATATCCTGGAGAACTTTTCCTTATTTAAGGACACCAGACCTAAACAGAGAGAGACAAAGCAGTACCAGCTACCCGTCTGCAAGAGCAGTACGTTTTACTCTCTGTGCATGCTGCTGGCTACCCAGAACAGTCACGTCCTATGCTAGCATATGGCTCCCAGATTAGAAAGAAGTTGGTTGCCACAAGTCATCATCTTCCTCACTTACTCATTTGCCATATTGCGAGCAACTGCAAAACTGTATCCTGTATATATCATACCTAAAATTAATTGCAATAAACTATTCTTTCCTCCCACAACACCTTCCTAGGGATCCTCTTCAGAAGAGAAAGGCTCTAATGGCCAGCTCTCATACTGAGGTTCACCTCATTCACTTTGTCACTCCCAAAGCAGAACATCATACCAGAGAGAAATTCAATTCTTGGAGAGAAGGTGCCTTGCTTGAGCACTTCTGGCAAGGGAAAATTTAACATTGTCTTCAACAATAACTGGCCTAGGATCTAAGATGACATGAAGCGAGGTAATCCCCTAGAAGTGTCTGAAAGGATGGCAGTGTACCAGCTGAGGAGTTACTCCAGAAACTCCGCAATCTAAGGAACTGCTCTTAGAATAGACGTGTATGAACAAGCCCACCTAATCACATTTTGTTGAAGAGAAACTCGTTGTTAAAAATAAGTGTGTTTTCCCTGCACAAGTCCAAAGAGCTTATGACCAGAAATAATGCTCTTATCTTAGCAGCACTGTATGAAGTTAGAGGACAAGACAAGGGCACTGCCAGTCAGAAGGCAGATAGAACCGCTTTACCTCAAGTGGCTGTTGCATATCAGGCAGGTCACAAAGTCAACATGCAAAGTATAATGCAACACAAGTTTATGCTAGTCAGCGATCTCACAGGATGGGTTCAAGATCTATTTCCAGTGGCAAATTATGACAGATGCAATTTGTCCAGCAAGTATCCCCACAAAGAACAACTCTCTCTTCCTTCTACTTTAGCCACTGATGAAGTAGACAAACCATTTGATGAAGCATTTGAGGTAAATTGCCTCAGCAACAAGAGATAAAAATTAAACATCAGTTTTCCGGGGAGCTCTGGACTTTTCTTCCTGCAGAAGCAAAGCAGGTTAACCACAGGCCGGTTGAAGATGGTCAGAACCAAATCCTCTGTTCGCAGAAGGCTGGAGGGGCAGCAAATAGCACATCTACACGGTACTTTACAAATGGTGCTGATCCTCAGCTAGTAAGTCCTGCCAAGGGATGGTGAGCGTTAGCTTGTTATCAGCACCACGGTAATGAAGTTGCCATCTCAAAGAGGAAGCAGAGATAGTTCTTTTCTAATAGTAAAGGCTATATAGGCATCTCTAGAGCTGCCTCCTGATCTAGCCACCCACACCAGTACCGTGGGCGTATCAGAGGTCCAGAAATGCCATGATGTAACAAGTATTCTTCTTAATTATAGGACTTCATGGCAGAGAGACACACCAGAGAAATGCTTCAGAGTACCACAGTACTGACTGTGGTCCTCCTTTTCTCAAGCATAACTAGGTCATCGCAGTTTACCTCATGAGCATGTTTTCCTACCTCTGCTTTGTGTTGCCTGGCTGTCATCTCCGAGATCATCTTCTCCTCCATAGGTTCGAATGGGGGATCGGGCATAGGAATGCTTTTGGATAAGGCTCTCCACACTTTCTCTGTGAAAGGAAACAACCTACTGTATCAATAACATCCTAAACAGCCTCCTAATTCATTAGGTTAAATACAATGAACAAGCTGCCTTTTCCCTGTCCAGATCACAGCTTTCTCACACAGACTCTCCAAAATTCCATAATAAAAGGGTTTCTTCATAGCATGCCACTGGAAATGCTGAACTTGGCCTGCAATGTTTTACCATTGCCGATCACCTCTTACCTGCATGGTACTGCTTCTTCAGCAAAGTAGAGTGAACTTCCCACTGTGTTTGCTGGATGTGGTCTCAGACAGTGAATGTAAGACCAGCACTCTTCACAAATTTGAAAACGCAGGCTCTGGGGTTATTCATGCTGAATGATCAGTCTGGGTTCAAAGAGACACCCGTGATCCAGCTCCTTTGAAAACAGCTTTCACATCACACATGACTACCTCATCCGGTGCTCTCCCATTTTTTCTGAAATCAGGGGCAAGAGATAGATGTGTCCAGAGACAGTTCAGCTCTAACCATGCTCTCTCAGCATCAGAGCTGAGGCCAGTTTGTAGCAGGAAGTCTACAGATACTACCGATCTCGTGCCACGTCTATTCTGGGAGGTTAGACGTGTCTGCCAGGCCCCCGCCTCGCTGGTGGCACAAAGCACTGAAGTCACCCAAACAATTTTTAAATAGAAGGAAGGCATATCTGCATGATAAGCCATAGCAGTTTGTAAGGAAGATCCAACCGTACACATTCCCGGCGCGTTTCCATGTAAGTAGGTGGCATTATACCAAAGATGAATACGACTGAGGCACATTTCCAAAATGGCTTTGACCTTCTGTTCCTGTTTAAGAGATCTAAGTAGTGATAGCTGTTTAAATCTGCTGCTCAGTGAAGGTTTTGTCTGAATTTACCATTTGGCCATTCATATTTGCTAATGCCCTTCTCTCGGAGAGCGTATCTGTTGCAGAAATTCCAAGAAAAAACATTTTCCAAGTAACGCGATAAATTGCAATGGCACATATTTTCCTTTCCTACAGAAAGCCCATTATGGTCATTTTGTCCTTGGTCTATCACTGGCATCATTACTTATGCTAGTCTCCTCGGAAAAAAATAAATAAAAAGGGGATCTTATCAAAGTGATTTACTTGTGTCAGGATTGGAAGTGGACTGAAAGCAATGGCAGTTCCTACATAGAGGATGATATAATTGAATTACTGCCTTTTAAGTGATTGAAAACAGTAGGCATATCGGGGCTATCTCAAAGAAGATTTTACAAAGAAAAAGACAGATGGCATTGTTTACATTATGTGCTGAATGCCTCTTGAAACTTTTTTTTTCCTGAAGCAGAATGTGAAATGCAAAGAATTTTACTCAGCCAAAAAGATTATCTCAGATGAGTACAGAATAACAGAATAATGAATTAGACCAGTGTTGTCTGAGTGATTTAGATACCAGTCTACAAATATATTCATAACTAAAAAATTACTAATCTTTAAAGGTCTGAAAATAAATGTGATTCAGGTGATTGTCTGTATTGTCTCTATTGACTTTATTTCTAGTAAAGGTCTGCTTATAATGACAGACATTAGGGCATGTAATAATATCCTGATGCAACAGAAACAATGCAGGCTCTAGTTTTAGAGCAATGGGCCAAATTCATCTCTAAAACATTGGATGCAATGGTGGTTTGGGGATAAACTCACCCCAATAAATTTACATTTGAATAACCTACAGGGATTTAAAGCTAAATCAAATGCCCACAGTTATTGCAGACTAAATTCTTTCCAGATGGGTTTGCATGCTAGACAGAGAACTCTATTATTCTATATGGTTGTCTTCTTTTAAAGGAAAGAGAGAGATGACTTATTAGTGAACCCTGAATCTGCGAAGTTTGAAACCAGGGAATTATATGGTAGGTTTATTTATTTATTTTTAATGTTGTAATGTTGCAGGTAGTATGCAAAAGGTTTTAGAAGATTAATCTCATTCATTGGCACAAGCAGCAAAGGGTTTTATGGCAGAGGGAACAGTCTAATGAGGAAACTTGGATCAGGGAAAGGAACTAATTTCACAAAAGCAGTTCCTTTTGTGCAGCTGGGATTTAATATTCAAAACTGTGTATGCTTATCTTGCCTAGCCATGTTGGTGGTTTACACTATAGTCACAACACACCTACTAAATTTTCATTTTAGAGGTTGAGGTTGTGATTCACATCGTGAGCACAAAGGACTGAGACTCATACCGGAATTTAGGCACCTGGCCCCCACAGCCTTCAGGTGGACACTTCTTTCCACATACAGCACATGCTGCATATAAACCTCCAAACAGACCTACAAAATGCAAAAGGCTGAGCCGGAAACCACCTAAATATGCAAAAGGAAACAAAGAAAAGCAAGAAGTTCTGTATTTTCTCTACTCATGAAGCGCATCTCTGAGTTATCCCACGAAGCACTGTTTCTTCCACCTAGCAAAACGAAAGCTGAAATCTACACTCAGGTCTCCCCCATCCTGGATAAGTGACCTAACTACAAATTAAGGGATAACCTTTTCTTCCATTTGTGTTTCAAAGGGAAAGGGTGGTGGCCTCTGCACCATGCTCAAATATTTCATGCTCAGAGAACACTACCCAGAAATCAAGTCTTCTTGGAGAAGAAAGGGGTTGCAACTCATCTGTCTATGGAAACATGTTGAGTTTCCCCACACGGGCTGGAAAGAGGAGCTGAACCTCCTCTACCCTTTGAAGACAGAGGTGGCTTTAGGTGCTCAAAAATAGATCTGTAAGAGGCAGCAAAACTTCAACAAGATTTCGGTGCCTGCGAAATCTAGTTCAAAACAGAGGAACAAAGCTGGCAATCTGAAACACAGCTTCCTGCTTATAACCTTTTGTCAATCTGGGCCAAAAGGACTTAAATCTCAAAATCTTCTGGAAAATTCTGTTTATGAAAGTATGAACTGTTTAGGATGTCCAAAATATGGTGCTCTGTGGAGTGGGCCAATAAAATAATTTTTAAGTCCTAAAATATAATAATAGTAATACTAAGAGGGAAAGACTCATTAATTTAAACCTCTGGCTTTATAGTTCTATATGGAATATCTTCAGATATCTCAGTGTGGTTCAAAGGATTTATGGAAATAATTTTATAAATTACTAAATGATAAAGCAATATTTGCCATTTTATGATTCTGCTCAATAAAAAAAAAAAAAAAAGCAAGTGAAGACTATGGTGGGGGTTGGTTTTTTTAAAAGCTTTCCTTTAGTTTTTTTTCAGAGATGATCCATACTAAACTGACTGAAGAACAAAATCATAGAATCATAGAATGGTTTGGGTTGGAAGGGACCTCAAAGATCATCTAGTTCCAACCCCCGTGCCACGGGCAGGGACACCCTCCACTAGACCACATTGCCCAAAGCCCCATCCAACCTGGCCTTGAACACTTCCAGGGATGGGGCATCCACAACTTCTCTGGGCAACCTGTTCCAGTGCCTCACCACCCTAACAGTAAAGAATTTCTTTCTAATGTCTAATCTAAATCGCCCTTCCTTCAGCTTAAACCCATTACCCCTTGTCCTGTCACTACACTCCCTGATAAACAGTCCCTCACCAGCTTTCCTGTAGGCCCCTTCAGGTACTGGTAAGCCGCAATTAGATCTCCCTGGAGCTGCCTTTTCTCCAGGCTGAACAACCCCAACTCTCTCAGCCTGTCCTCACAGGAGAGGTGCTCCAGCCCTCTGATCAGCTTCGTGGCCCTCCTCTGGACTCTCTCCAACAGCGACTTTCAGTTACTCAGTGCTTAACTTCTGTACTTCTGTTACTCAGTTTGTGATCAGGCACTTGTTATCTAATACTTGGACCTAACAGTTTTTGCCTTTTTAAAGCATCTTAGAACTCTGCAGTTTCTTCTGGATGCGATCCTGTGCAACCTGCTCTAGGTAAACTTGCTTTAGCAGGAGCATTGGACTAGATGATCTCCAGAAGTCTCTTCCAACCCCTACTGTTCTGTGATTCTATTATAGCAATAAATTAGCAATAAACTTTGTTTCGAGAGATCACAAGCTGCCAGCTGGATAATGGAAAGATGTCTTCTTTCTGTCAAATTCTTTTGTGTGGTCTACCAACAATTTTCAGTCTTCCAGACTGCTCTTCAACTCACAGTTACCTTGTAAATACCCAGAGGTGGGGGAAAAACCACACACACAGAGACATAATATATTACTATGATTAAGCTGTGCTATGTGTACAACTGGATAATAGTAGCAGATGACAGGCTGGAGAAGAGCAAGTTAGGGGCTGAAGCTGTTTGAGAAAGAGAAGAAGGAACCATGTGCCAAAGGGAGAGGGGGAAAAAAAAAAAACGCTCATATTGGCTAGCACACCCAGAGAGAAGTGCTGAGGCAGGATAAATGTGAGGAGAGGTAATACGGAAAAAGAGCTTAGGCTGATCCAAATGATCTGCATTCTGACAGAAGTACACCATGAGCCCAGCCCTGTAAATAAACCTCTGCTTATTATGAATGAAGCACTTCTCTCTTATGCAAGAAATAAAACAGTGAGTTTTGGACCAGGAAACCAAGGAAGTGAAATGTTGGGAGAATTTATCAATTAACAAGATTTTAGGGTGCACAGAGAGCATCTTGCCATTCTGTAGGTTTTAACTTCTCAACTGAACATTTCATTCTTGCCTCTGCCAGCAACTGATGCCAAAGCTAGACTTCCAGCTAGAGATGCTTTATGTCTTGCATCTACAAGCTGAGATTTTGGCCTTGTTTAGTTAACAGTGCCCTGTACAAAATAGTCTCAGAGGATCAAAAGTAGATAGGAAGATCCTGATGTAGCTGATAAATGATTCACTAACGCTTTACAAACTACGCCCAAGATCTTGCCATGGATATGAAATGGGAGATGGCAGAACACAGAGCTGACTTGAGAAGTGGCTGAGGAGCTCCTTGAGGAGCAAGGCCCTGCGTGAGGATGCTCACTTCATTTTGCTGTCACCCTAGATTACAAAAATTCTTCTGGGACATG